GAGTTCAAGACCAGGCCTGAGCAGAGAGCAGACCCGTCTCTACTAAAAAAAACTAGGCCAACTAAAATAGATAGGAAAATAAAGTAAATAAATAAAACTAAAAAAATCACCCTGAAAAGCAAAGGGAGCCACCAACCCTTGTGTGGCAATCCACACGGCTTTTACCAATGCTACACCAGGCTAGAGGGACTTGGGACAGTAAAAACTCAGCCAGGACCACACTGCCAACGTCTTCCTAGTCATGCCAGCAGTCAGCAGCATGGAATTTGATACTTCCACGGTTTTCCAGGAAAGTTTCCGAAAGAAGTGAGCCGAAAGCAGAGACCTCAATCCGAGCATAGTTTCCCCAGTTGGTCCCTGAGACTATCAATGTACAAGTTAATACAAAAAACAAAAAAAAAAACAACAACCCTAGTGCAGCTCGCCGCTTTTTCCCAGTGAGAGGGAGCTAGCTAAAACTCGTTAGGAAATGAACAGAGATTTTAGTTGCTTGTCCACAATGTGAGATTAGCAGTGTCAGGTTGAGCCCCTGAACTCTGATGGTGGAACCACTTATCTTCTCTATCAAAATTTAAAGTGTACCTTTTTTTTTGCTTTTCTTTCTTTTCCTTTTTGAAACCAGGACGTCTCACTTTGTTGCCCGGGCTTGGAATGCCGGTGGGCATCAGCCTAGCTCACAGGCAACCTCCAAACTCCTGGCTCAGCGATCCCTGGCCTCAGCCTGTCCAAGTAGCTGGGAGCTACAGGCATGCGCCACCCATGCCGGCTAATTTTTGTCTATAGAACACTTGCTCCCTGTAAACTTTTTTTTTTTTTTTTTTTAGACAGCATTCCACTCTGGTTGCCGGGTAGAGTTGCCAGTGCCGTGGCGTGCAGCCTCGTCACACAACATCAGGACTCCTGCTCAAGCTATCCTTCCTGGGCCTCAGCCTCCCGAGTAGCTGGACTACAGGGCATGGCGCCACCACGCCGGCTAATTTTGTTCGGTATATATTTTTGTTGGCCAATTGAAGTTCTTTCTATTTTTTAGTACAGGATGGAGCGTCTCGGTTTGCTCAGGTGGGTCTGAACTCCTGGCCTTCGCGATCCTCCCGCCCGCCTCCAGGAGTGTTAGGATTACAGGGCGTGCAGCCACCGGCTCCCGGGCCTCTATTTCTTGACTATTGGCTGCGTTGCACATTGGTATGAATCTTCCGTAATTCCTGGTGTCCTTCAGAAGACTTAGAATGACTTTGAATCGATTCTCTGCCCACAACCACGCGCACATGCTCTCATTTTCATCCATTCATGTTATTTGCGCAAATGGCGAGGCAGTCTGTCGGCCTGCATATCCAACTAAGAGATTTCTGGACGGGGGTGTAAAAGTGGCCGGTGGAAGCTTACCTAAAGTCTTAAGTGGTGCTTGAAATCTATCTCTTCAAAACTTAAATTGCCATCTGCTAGTTTCAATGTTGGCTGAGGGTTTGATGAATCTTGCGCGTTTTTTCTAAGCATAAATCTACGAGCCTATGGGCTTGATACTCTACTTAATAATGAGTAAGTCGGGAGGAAGCAGAGGGTACGATCTTTTGCTAGAAGACTTGAAGAAGGAACGAGCATGGCGCAGTTGGCTGTGTAATGGTCTAGTACTGCAGAGA